AGTGGGCATCCTTGACGTGTTCCTGATCTTAAGGGAAAGGCTCTCAGCCTTTCCCCATTGAGGATGATATTCGCTGTGGGTTTTTCATAGATGGATTTTATGAGCTTGAGGAATGTTCCCTCTATCCCTATACTCTGAAGAGTTTTAATCAGGAAAGGATGTTGTATTTTGTCAATGCTTTTTCTGCATCAATTGAGAGGACCATATGGTTCTTCTCCCTCCCCTTATTAATGTGTTCTATCACATTGATTGATTTGTGGATGTTGAACCACCCTTGCATCCCGGGGATAAATCCCACTTGGTCGTGGTGGATGATCCTTTTAATGTATTGTTGGATCCTATTAGCTAGGATTTTGTTGAGGATTTTGGAATCCATATTCATCAGGGATATTGGTCTGAAATTCTCCTTTTTGATGGGGTCTTTGCCTGGTTTGGGGATTAAGGTAATGCTGGCCTCATAGAATAAGTTTGGAAGTTTTCCTTCTGTTTCTATTTTTTGAAACAGCTTCAGTAGAATAGGTATTATTTCTTCTTTGAATGTTTGGTAGAATTCCCCAGAGAATCCATCAGGCCCTGGACTCTTGTTTTTTGGGAGGTTTTTGATCACTGCTTCAATCTCGTTACTGGTTATTGGCCTACTCAGGTTGTCAATTTCTTCCTGTTTCAGTCTTGGCAGCTTATAGGTTTCCAGGAAGGCCTCCATTTCATCCAGACTGCTCAGTTTATTGGCATATAGTTGTTGATAATAATTTCTAATAATTGTTTCTATTTCCTTGGTGTTGGTCATAATCTCTCCCCTTTCATTCATAATTTTATTAATTTGGGTCCTTTCTTCTTTTGGATAAGTCTGGCCAGTGGTTTATCGATCTTATCAATTCTTTCAAAGAACCAACTTCTAGTTTTGTTGATCTGATCTACTGTGTTTCTGGTTTCTAATTCATTGATTTCTGCTCTAATTTTAATTATTTCTCTTCTAATGTGTGGCTTAGGTGTCGTTTGTTGCTTTTTCTCTAGTTCTTTAAGGTGTAGAGTTAGTTGGTGAATTCGGGATTTTTCTATTTTTTTGAGTGAGGCTTGGATGGCTATGTATTTCCCCCTTAGGACCGCCTTTGCAGTATCCTGTAGGTTTTGGACCGATGTGTTCGTTCTCATTGATTTCCATGAATTGTTTAAGTTCTTCTTTGATTTCTTGGTTGACCCAAACATTCTTGAGCAGAGTGGTCTTTAGCTTCCAAGTGTTTAAATTTCTGTCAAATTTTTTCTTATGATTGAGTTCCGGTTTTAGAGCATTGTGGTCTGAGAATATGCAGGGAATAATCTCAATCTTTTGGTATCAGTTGAGACCTGATTTGTGACCCAGTGTATGGTCTATTCTGGAGAAAGTTCCATGTGTGCTCAAGAAGAATGAGTATTCTGTTGTTTTAGGGTGGAATGTTCTGTAAATATCTATGAGGTCCATCTGGTCCAATGTATCATTCAAAGCTCTTGTTTCTTTGTTGATTTTCTGCTTAGATGATCTGTCCATTGCTGAGAGTGGAGTATTGAGGTCTCCTACAATTAACGTATTGTTATCAATATAACTCTTTATTTTGGTTAACAGTTGGCTTATGTAGATGGCTGCTCCCATGTTGGGGGCATAGATATTTACAATTGTTAGATCTTCTTTTTGGATAGACCCTTTAAGAATGATATAGTGTCCTTCTGTGTCTCTTATGACAGACTTTAGTTTAAAATCTAATTTGTCTGATATAAGAATTGCTATCCCAGCTTTCTTTTGAGGTCCTTTGGCATGGAAGATGGATCTAGATCCCTTCACTTGCAGTCTGGATCTATCTTTAGGTTCAAAATGAGTCTCTTGTAGACAGCATATGGATGGGTCCTGTCTTTTTATCCAATCTGTAACCCTGTGCCGTTTTATGGGAGCATTTAGGCCATTCACGTTGAGAGTAATTATTGAAAGATATGAATTAATTGTCATCATGTTGCCTGTGAAGACGTTGTTTTTATAGATCGTCCCTGTAAATTTCTGTTGTATATGACTCTTGGGGTCTTTCTCCTTTTATAGAACCCCCCTTAATATTTCTTGCAGGGCTGGCTTAGTGGTCACATATTCTTTCAACTTCTGCCGGTCATGGAAGCTCTGCATCTCTCCCTCCATTCTAAATGAAATCCTTGCCGGATAAAGTATTCTTGGCTTCATGTTCTTCTCATTTAGTACCCTGAATATGTCTTGCCAGGCCTTTCTAGCTTGCCAGGTCTCTGTGGATAGGTCTGACGTTATTCTGATGTTCCTCCCTTTGTACGTAAGGGATCTCTTCCCCTTAACTGCCCTTAAGATGGTTTCCTTGGTTCTAAGATTTGCAAGTTTTACTAGTACATGCCGGGATGTTGACCTGTTTTCCTTGATCTTAGGAGGGGTCCTCTCTGCCTCTAGGACTCGAATGTTTGTTTCATTCCCCAGATTAGGGAAGTTCTCAGCTACAATTTGCTCAAATAGATCTTCTAGCCCTCTCTCTCTCTCCACTCCCTCCGGGATTCCAATGATTCTGACGTTGGAACGCCTCATGGTGTCACTTATTTCTCTGATTCTATTTTCATGGATTCTGAGTTGTTTTTCCCTGGCCTCCTCTTTTCCCTTTTTATCTATTATACTGTCTTCCAGATCGCTTATTCTCTCTTCTGTCTCAGTTACCCTAACTGTTAGATTATCTAGATTGGATTGGATCTCATTGATCGCATTTTTAAGTTCTGCCAATTCACCTTTTATTTCTGCCCTTAGAGACTCTATGTTGCCCTTAATTGATTTCTCCATTCTAGCCATTGTCTTCACAATTGCTAGCCTGAATTCCATCTCCGACATCTTGGTTATATCTGCATCCATTTGTAAATCTGCAGCATAAGTCATAATCTCTGAGTCTTTTCTGTTTTGGGGGCTCCTCCTCCTAGTCATTCTGTTGATGGGTGTTTGAGGGAATGTACAGAGTCCAAATTATTGACCAGAACGCAAGCAAGATGCACCTGTTTGTTGGGACCTTAGGGTTGCTGGCCTCTTGTTTTCCCAGCCTGCCATGCTGTTACTCAGCGGGAGGGACCTGCCGTGCTGTTACTCGGCAACCCTGTTTGGGCGGAGTTGCCCTGCGCCCCTCTGGTGGGGGATGGGCTCAGTGGGAATCAGTCTTCGGGGCTTTTGTTCCCTGGCGGCTTTCCGCGTCTCTTCCGCCAGTCAGAGCAGAAGAGACCGTTTCCAGCCCTCTGCCTCAGAGCAGAGACCGCAGTCTGTTCTTCAGTGAGCTCTCCAGGCCACACCGTCTCCGTTTCTGTCCATGCTGCTATAAACCGCAGCGGCCTGGGTTGTGTGCCCCTCCGCAGCGCTCCCGGTCCTGCCTCCAGGTCGGGCCCGTCTCTGCCCTTTGTGCTTCTTTTTTTTTTTTTGCCCTTTGTGCTTCTAATACCGCCAGCCGCTCCCAGTCCGCGCAGTGCGCGACTCCTCCACTTGGGGTCCTGTCTCGGGGGCTGCAGTTCGTGTGCGCGCGACTCCGCCGCTCGGGGTTTCCACCCCGGGGGTTGCAGTTCACCGGCGGGACCCCGGCGCACCGGGATTCCGTCTTGGAGGCTGCAGTTTGCATGCACGTGACCGTCGCTCCGGTTTCTGTCCGAGGGGCTGCGGTTCGCATGTGCTTGACCCCGCCGGTCTGGTTTTCCACCCCGGGGGCTGCCCTAAAGTCCTTTCCCGACGCTACCGGTCTGCGAGTCTGCGCCCGTCCGCAGTGCGTGAGGCTGTCACTCACCGGCGGTGTAGGATCCCCATGGCCAGGCACCCTCCCGCTGCCGTTTATCCTCCGATATCTGCCCATGGAATCAGGGCTCCCCGCTTCGTACCTGGAAACCAACCTCCTGCGATATTCTGTTTGTAGAGATCCAGATCTTCTTACATCTCAGGCTGGTTTCGTGGGTGCTCAGAGTGGTCTGGTAGATATCCAGCTCAACTCCGGGGACCAGTTGAAATAGGGTCCCCTACTCCTCTGCCATCTTCCCCCCTCCTCTAGTAGAGAACCCTTTAAACACATGTAGTGATGCTTACATTTCTAGATAAATTCTCTCCTTGAAAGAGCTTGTGCCAACATCGAGCACTTCTTAATGTTGACAATAGCTACTTATTTAGTGACCCTCTACTGTGGTCTTGACCCTGTTTTGTGCACTTTACATATATATTTTCTCTCATTCTGTCATCATCACAACACCCAGGCTTCATTATTCCCTGTGTACATATTTGGAAACAGAGACCCAGACAGATGAGCTGCCTTGTCCTAGACCTTGGCCACATAGAGCTAGGACAGAATCCAGCGTCCCCCTGGTCCACACCTATGTTTCTGAATCTTAAATGTGTTTTTCTAAAATCATCTATTCCTTTATTCAATTATAAAGCTTGTTCATTACTATGACATATTTCTGAGGCTAAAAAATGACAAGGTAATGGGGCGCCTGGGTGGCTCAGTTGGTTAAGTGTCAGACTTTTTTTTTTTTTTTTTAAAGATTTTATTTATTTATTTGAGAAAGAGAGAGAGCACAAGCAGAGGGAGCTTCAGGCAGAGGGAGAAGCAGGCTCCCTGCTGAGGATGGAGCCCAAGGTGGGGCTCAATCCCAGGACACTGGGATCATGACCTGAGCAGAAGGCAGACGCTTAACTGACTGAGCCACCCAGGCGTCCCTAAGTGTCAGACTTTGGCTCAGGTCATGATCTCAGGGTCCTGGGATCCAGCCCTGTGTTGGGCTTTCTACTTAGTGTGGAGTCTGCTTCTCCCTCTGTCCCTCCCCTTGCTTATGTGCGCGCACGCACACATGCATGCTCTTTCTCTCTCTCAGAATAATAAATAAAATCTTTTAAAAAATGTCAAGGTGGTAAAATAATTAAAAGTGTAAGAAAAAGATTTTGTATATAAATAGATTGTTTTAGAGTAAAGAAAGAAAAATCTAGTAACTTTCTATGTTTAATTTTAAAGGAGGTGCCTCCTTGGACCTTAAAGCTTGTCCTCCTAAACCATCTAAATGGATCCTGGACATGACCTGGTTGAATTTGGTGGAACTCAGCAAACTCAGACAGTTTTCAGATGTCCTTGATCAGGTAACTTGTGCTTTGAATAAGCTTATGACAGTGTCGCAGGGAGCAGCTTCCTGATTTATCACTAGCTATGGTATTTGTGGAAGAGAGAGATTGTTTAATGTTGTCACTCTTGCCACGGTGCCTGACCTTCCTCCTGCTCACTCACACTCTGATGAAGCAGACCCCACCCACCTCTAACTGGTGCCGTCCAGTGCCCCATGTCAGTAACACCCACTGGAGATCCACAAGTGGGAAAACTGAGAGATTCAATGAAATCACTAGACATATTTAAGAGGTTTTGCCATCTTCCTGGAGATTAAACGAAAAGAAATATGAACAGCTTGCCTCTAAATGTTAGAGATCCTTTTCTCGCCTCTTGTTCTTCTCTTCTTCTTTGTCTCTTGTTCTCCCATGGTATGGCCTTAGCCAGGTGTCTGGGCATAAATCTGATGCCAATTCTTGGCCCCTTATCTTTACAAGTTATTACTTTGTCATAACCAGCCAGTTCCTGATGAATTGTATATGTGCTGGGATCATGGAAGTGGTGTCTAGACAGCTGAATTGAGACAAACCAAGAAACAGATTCTTGAGAATCAGATGACCAGAGAGAAATCACACTGAGAGCAAGGTGGCTTTATTCAGCCACAAGTTGTAGGCTTTTTATGACCAGAAATTGTACTAAGGTTGGTTCCTGAATTTCCCAGTTTAGGTTGACCAGAAACCTACTGTTTGGCTCTATCTGTATGTGTTGGCTTATGCCTGGTAGTCTGTATTATTTCTACCATATAATTTAACCCATTCTTTTGCATTAAATAACTTTCATTTGGGAGGTTTGAATGCCCTCTGGCATCATGAGATGACTCCTAGTGACCTTTCCCCAACTGATATCTCTTCCTGAAGTTGCTGTCTCCTGGAGATTGTCTTATGCCTGAAATCCCTCTGCGTCATGTAGTCTTTCATGATAGAGGGAGGTTATTACTTTATATTCTTACACAATACTTTCTAAATACGGATCTGGAATGTTTTTCCCTTTGATTAGGCTTCCAAGAAATATATCTGGGGCTTTAATCAAGGGGAATATACCAGAGAATATTGGATCATATTTATCTGCTGACATTATTTGTTTGTTCTATGTTTTGGAGATGATTGCCCATGGAATGCTGTCTCTGTTTTTAAGCCCCAAAGGAGAATGGACTGTATTCTCTTCCTCCTTATCAATCGTGTAAAGGGAGCATGTGTGTCATTACTCATTTGATGGTGATATTAAGTCGTATATTTCAAATTATTCTAGATTAATAAGAGTATTGACCAAAAAGCTTTTTGTTCAATAATAAACATATATTAAATGTCTTCTTTTGTGCCAGGAGTGGTCTTGGAAAATGAGGAAACATACGTGAATAAATGAGTGAACTCGTTCCTGATCATGAGAGGATTTCATGGAGCAAATCAGATTTCCTTAAAATAATGAAAATGAGTTTTCATTGATTTCTTTATTCCTCATAAATTTGATACCACAAAGGCATTAGAAGAAATTAAACAACCCAAGGCTCTCCCTACTTCAAAAGCTAGCTGTAACCTGGCATTAATGCAGACTGATTTTAGAGCAAATCACATTTGATTTTAGACTGTCACAATTTTTGGTAGTGGAATATAAAATTAAAAAAAAAAGTCATGGGATATCATTCACACGTGTCTGGAATAGTCAGAAGATATGATGAGAAATAACCATGAACTGTTACTGAAAGATTTTTCTGTGCTGTGGTGCAATTCTTATTCCCTGGTATTTTCAGATATCAAGAAATGAGAAAATGTGGAAAATTTGGTTTGATAAGGAAAACCCTGAGGAAGAACCCCTTCCAAATGCCTATGATAAATCTCTTGACTGCTTTAAACGTCTTCTCCTTATTAGATCCTGGTGTCCTGACAGAACCATTGCCCAGGTAAAAAGTTCATATTAGAAAAAAATAGAATATTTTTTAAAGAAGTTTTTATTATTTTAAAATAATCTCTACACCCATTGTGGGGCTCAAACCTACTACAACTCTGAGATCAAGAGTCACATGCGCCACCAACTGAGCCAGCCAGGCGCCCCCGAGGAGAATATTTTTAAGGAGAATTTCCTTTTAAATTTAAAGAAATATTGAATATTTTAATCCCAGTGAGAATTTTCTTGGAGGCTTCTATGGAATTTTCTGGCAATACCTCTGTGACAAATGGAAAAGTAAACAAATGTAGTGAGGTGTACATTTGGGCTAAGTGATTTAATAATCTTCTTTGGTCTAAATGGTACAGGAGTGAATGAGAAAGCCATGTTTTTAAGGTCGGCTTATAGATATGACGTAAAAGTAATGTATTACTCTTCCATTACCATTTTTATATTAACTCAAAAATGATATGGCTGCTCCATTTTGTTAGTAGTAAAACAATGTTTCTTTAAGTAGGAAGGATGTGAGGGCGCCAGGGTGGCTCAGTCGGTGAAGCGTCTGCCTTCAGCTCAGGTCATGATCCCAGGGTCCTGGGATCAAGTCCCGCATCGGGCTCCCTGCTCAGTGGGGAGCCTGGTTCTCCCTCTGCCCCTTCCCCTCACTCGTGCATTTTATCTCTCTCTCTTGCAAAAATAAATAAAAATACTTAAAAAAAAAAAAGAAGTAGGAAAGATGTGGAAACCTTGGGAGGAGAGGTAGATGAGAGGGAGACATAGTATTCCCAAATCTACAGTTATAACCCCAGGCATCTCAGGACCCCTGATGCAAGAGTTGGCCTAAAACCCTGTCAGTTTTACATATGGTTTAAATGTGAATCCTGCCTCCAGGAGATCCATCTTTTCAAAGACCTTTAATCTGCTGGCCTCCTGTCTTGGAAATGTCACTGCTAATAAGACTTGCCCGTGTCCTGCCTTCACAATGAAAACTTTAGCTTGAATATTCAGCTCAGGTGGATTCCTTAGGGGCTTCCCCAAACAAGCCATAGAGTTAACAATACGCTGGTTTATAATAGAATGTAGGAAGTTCTCCCCTCCACTCTCCAGAGGGAGTGTAAAAACAGGGAAAAGCCACCTCCAAGTCCAGGTAGGTACAGAGGAATCATGAAAACAACTAGATTCAATGATTTATTGAGAAAAGAAAAATGAGTTCTGTAATGCAGGGCAACTGAGATCACCCTTCCTTCAGTTTTTCTTCTCAACTTCATTACTTTTATCCTGCCCAAAAGAATTGTCAAACTGTTGCCTTAAGGACAGTGTAGAAGGTTCAAGTAGTTCTGTTCTTTTTTTTTCTCTTCTTTTCTTCTTCCCTCTTTCCCTCTTTCCTTTCTCTCCCTTCCCTTTCTTTCTTGCTCCATCTTCTCTCCTTCCTTCTCTCCCCTCTTTCTCTCTCCCTCTACTCTCTTCCTTTCTTCCTTTTTTTTTTTGATGTAACACTTTATTTGGTTCTATGCTGAATTTAAGTCTACAAGGCTCCTTTGTAATTTTGTCATCTTCATCCTAGCTTCTGTCATCTATAGACTGACCGCAGCAATGGCTTCCTAACTGAGATCTCCTCTTGTTCCTTCTTGCTCACTCTAGTCTATCCTGTATATTCTAGAAGGAATGGAAATATGATTATGCTATTCCTTGCTTTTTAAAGTCTTTCAGTGGCTTCCCAAGGCCTCTTTGATAACACCCAAGTCTTAAGATCTGCAAGGGCCCTCTGGAAAAATGTCCTCTCCTCTGAAATTCTTATACTCACATTACATTCCTTTTGTGATTTTCAACCAGACACCTTCTTGGGACGTATATTCAAAGGTCTACAGTGTGGGTATATTTAGTCCCCATTCTCCATAAGCAGCATCAGGCTTGTTCTCAGTAATTTGGATGAGCATGACTGCCCATGTCAGGGGACATTCAGCTGCCTGGTTGCAAAAACAGTGCACTCTTAGAGGGTATCTCATGCCACATACACATTTGTGTCTCAAAAACACTCAGCGAAGAGGGTCAGAATAGGTGCAGAGGTTTACTTGTTGCTTTTTTACTTGCTTATTTTTCATTGGAATCAGGTATTGGGACAAAAATGTTCTTCAGAAGTGTGTGAACATTTGTGTCTCAAAAACGCTCAGCGAAGAGGGTCAGAATAGGTGCAGAGGTTTACTTGTTGCTTTTTTACTTGTTTATTTTTCATTGGAATCAGGTATTGGGACAAAAATGTTCTTCAGAAGTGTGTGAAGAGTAAGTTGTGACAATGTGGCACTCTATTTCCATTTGTGCCAACGAGCTATGCAGAAGCCTGGGTGCCCCACAGCTGAATCTTACATAAGTCATACTGCATGTCCTTCTGTCCCCTCTTGGTGACTTGCTCTTTTCTGTTTCAAGGTCTCTGCATTTGTGCTCTCTGCATGGAATTCTCACCACACTGCCTCTCCTACCTGTCCTCCTTGTCTAGATAAATCCCACTCCTCACCCAAAATCTGGATGAGTCTCTTATTGTAGCCACTACCTTCCCACTCTAACCTGCAAAGAGGACAAATGTGAGCGGGGACATCATCCCAAATTTTAAGCTCAGAGACCTTTGAGAATGCATAGTGCATAGCTGGATATTCAAAATGGAGGAAGAGCCTGTTTTACTGACTGAAATCAAACTTTGGATGTTTGTAAGTCAAAGACAACAGTTTAACCAGCACCACTCTCATTTTGACCCAGGTCTATCTCAAGCCTCTCTGATTTAAGGGAAACCCTGCCTACAACTGTTTTGTGTTTCTCTGGAAATGGAAGTGGGGTCCCACCATGGCCCACCTCACTCTGCTTATTATGTGAGAGAAATTTTTCTGGGGAATCTCACTGGGGAGGGAAACTTGGGTTTTACTCCCATGGGGGTAGGAGAAGAAAACAGAATAGGAAATTTTTCTTTGAGGGAACCCAGTTTTTTTTTCTTCCATTTGATCTTTTTTTTTTTTTAATTTTTAAAATTTTATTATGTTATGTTAATCACCATACATTACATCATTAGTTTTTGATGTAGTGTTCCATGATTCATTGTTTGCATATAACACCCAGTGCTTCATGCAGTACGTGCCCTCCTTAATACCCATCACCAGGCTAACCCATCCCCCCACCCCCCTCCCCTCTAGAACCCTCAGTTTGTTTCTCAGAGTCCATAGTCTCTCATGGTTTGTCTCCCCCTCTGATTCCCCCTTTCATTTTTCCCTTCCTGCTATCTTCTTCTTCTTCTTCTTCTTCTTTTTTTTTAACATACAATGGATTATTTGTTTCAGAGGTACAGGTCTGTGATTCAACAGTCTTGCACAATTCACAGCGCTCACCATAGCCCACACCCTCCCCAATGAGGGAACCCAGTTTTTACCAGAGGGAGAATAGAAACTAAAGGTCATACTCATAATAGTATCTTATTGATTAATTATTTTACTTTGTTTGGAAAAGGACTATGTTGTTACTTGAAATATTTTTATATGGTTGATAATACAGTTGACAAAGTCTGTGATATTGTGAGCATGTATTTCAGTCAAAACAAAATTAATGGTAAAGGGGACAAGCCAAAAATGGAAAGGGATCATGAGAATGATTAGGAGAATAATTATGGACTAAATCTTTAAAACATTAACTCATTCATTAAATATATAATATATTTCATTTAATAAGAAATCATTCAGTTATCTATTATAAGTATCCATGAAATCCCAGGCATTGTGCTGGTTATTTGTATTAGAATGCATATACATTTCCCTTAAAGCATCCTAAATAATACAGTTTCCTAATAATTTTAATTTTTTATGTACCAAGAAGTAGCCAGTGTATAGAACAGGTTTCAGACAAGTGGTCAGCCAACTTGGGTTCTGGTCTTTGAACTGTGTGACTGTATGTTGGCAAATAACACAGCCTCTCTATCATCTATAGAGTGGAGATATAACAAGAAAAATGTCTCTGTCCTATTTCCCTGGCAGAGTTACTGTGGACATCATTGAGATACTCTACCAAAATGAGTTTTGGAAGCCACCCTGCATCATAACACATGGAGGAGTTAGAATCAGTTTTGGTGATTCCTGTACTGTTTTTGGCAGGCCCGCAAGTACATCATGGACTCTATGGGAGAGCGCTATGCAGAAGGAGTTATCCTGGACTTGGAAAAGACGTGGGAGGAATCTGATCCACGGACACCACTCATCTGTCTCCTATCTATGGGCTCAGATCCCACGGATTCCATCATTGCCTTGGGGAAGAGATTAAAAATAGAAACCCGTTATGTGTCCATGGGCCAGGGCCAGGAGGTCCATGCGCGCAAGCTCTTACAGCAGACCATGGCAAATGTGAGGCCAAATGTCTACTTTTAGGTTATGTTGTTATTACAGGTTATAGAATAGCAATGCAGAAAAGAACTTATTAATCATTAAGAGTTTAAATTTACATGCTTTGTGCTGTTCACTAAACAGGAAAAGGTTTAATATCTATTAGAAAATTTTCATAGAAAAACAAATACAATTTTTTCTGCTGAGCCTTGACTTATGGAAAACTTACCCAACCAGAGCATCTTATTTCTCGACCAGTTTGCATAATGTTAAGCCCCACTCTAGATCCCAAATCCTTGGGAGTGGGGAGGGGTCTACAGCCCCACCCCCTGTGCCATACACTCTAGCCCCTCCACCATGATTCCTGCGCTGCTCTTGGAATCCCCAGCACTCCAGGATCCACCACACCATGTCTTTCTTGAGTTCCAGAATGTACAATCTGTGCTCTGGAGTCCCCCAGGCTTGGCCCACATCCCAGAGGCCAGGAATCTGCCATTACCTTGTGGTGGTACCAGAGGTTTTATTATATATACCTGGCTTATTGCCTTCCAGGCTGGGGCTCCTAGAGCCCTTTGTGGCTTGCAAATTCTGTAGCATGCAGAGCATGCCATGCTCAGGCCTTACCTGGAGGCTATAAAGTGCTAGAAACCACATGGTAATCTTGCAAAGGGGTAGTCCAGTCCAGAGCTGGGACACTTCCAGGGACTTAAATTAACTGAATGCACAAGGTCTTCCATTTCATCTCTAGAATTCCATCTCTCGGACAGGGCACTCATGTGTTTACTCTGGCCTAGCCCTTTCTGCAGTGTCTAACTCTGTCTGGAGGAACTGTTACCCCTGTTTTCCTCTTCCTCCATGCTTTGGCCAAGCAAAGAGGACGGAATGACTTGGCTTCTCATTCCCACTGGAGAACATGCAGTCTTGGTCTAGATGCCTTTCTGGCTTTTTTTTAGATCAGACCCTACTCCTCCTTCCCTGAGTCTGAGCTCTCCCCCCATATCTCAAAACTGCTTGTTTGCCCTCCAGGGAATCCCCCTGCTGAGGGCAGAACTTGCTGTCTCGCTAGGCCCACCGTGAAACCACTGGGCTCTAGGTCCTAGCCACTGAATCTAGAACCTCACTATTGTGCTGCATCCTGGTTTCTTTCCTCTGGTCTAGAACTGAACCCACTGTGTTCTAGAACCTCCCCAGGTTTTTATCCCCAAGTTGTGCCCCACCCCCAGCTTTGGTGAAGGTTGTGGGGGGACTCACATGTGTGTGCCTTGTCTGAGCACTTGATATGCAGCTGGGAGGGCAACAGGGGTGGACTGAAGTGTATCCAGAGATGAAAACATGCATCTATACTTAAGAATGCCAGGTCTGGAAGGGGCGCCTGGGTGGCTAGGTTGATTAAGCATCCAACTCTTAATTTCTGCTCAGGGTCCTGGGATTGAGCCCTGAGTTGGGCTCTGTGGAGTCTGCTTGGATTCTCTCTACCCACTCCTCCTCTGCCCTTCCTCCTGCTTATGTGCTCTCTCTCTCTCTAAAATAAATAAATAAAATCTTAAAAAGAATCCCAGGTCTGGTCTGACATGAGAGCTTAGTGGACTTCAACCCTGGCCTTTCCCTCCTCTTGGCCTCCTCCCCATTCTTCCCTCCCTCTTTTTTACTTCCTCTTTCCTCCCTCTGCATATTACTGTGCTTAGAACAAAGACACCAAAAATAACAGGACACCTATTTAACTCTAACTAATTTAAAATAAATAAGTGTTTAATAATTATAGTTTCAGGCAATTAGAGTATAAATGGAATAATTTTAGCCTTCAGTTTATTCATGTTTTCTGTTTACTAGTTTAGTAAATCAAGTAAAAGAAAAAAATAGTGTTATTATTAGCATGCTTATAACTTTCAGAGATACTAGTTTTTGTAAGTTTTGTAGGAAAGATTGGAGGTAGGGCACCTGGCTGGCTCAGTCAGTAGAGCCCGCAACTCTTGATCTTGGAGTTATAGGTTCAAGCCCCATGTTGGATGTAGAGAGTACTTAAAAAATAAAATCTTAATAAAAGAAAAAAAGGAAGGTTTGAGGCAATATGACAGAATGAACCAAGTACACAAGAATAGCAATGTGGATGATCTACTCAGTAAGAAGAACACAAAACATTTAATACAGAATGGGGTAATCCCACAGAAACAGCCTTGGCTAATGGATTCCAGGGGGAGAGTTGAAACAACAAACTTCTCACCTCAGATTCCCCAGCATGCTGGGTGACAGAGGGTGGCTCAATCCTTTTTGTGGTTGTTATGTTTTATATTTAATTTTTTTTGAATTGTGAACAGTGTCAATTGAATTTTTCAAGGGACAAAAAATAGTTTACTTATTCAGCAGTACTATATACTCCTCAAGAAAATAGAAGGGGATATATGAAATTTCATAGTGATCCATTTTATATACCAAGATTTTAAATTTGCTGCACTAGTCAAATCTAAATGATCCAAAATTACAGAGTCAAGAAAACAACTCGAGATGATGATCTGGATATTCTAGATCATTTTAGCAAAAATATTCTATAGATTAGATATTGAGTAAATTATTACAAAATGATCTAAAATATTGCCTTTGTTGCTTTATGCAAGGAACATTCTTATGCTCATAAAATGTGTTATACAAAAGATAGGGCTTATTATCTTCTAAGGCTCTTGTTCTTAGAGTGGGCAGATTCCCCACAGAAGGATCACCCACTTTCTAGAGGGTATACATCCTGCTGCCAGGGTTTTGGGAACTCCATGAGAGGAGGGAGGGAATAGGTCTCAAAATTGAGTAGGTAGCCTTTCTTTCATCTGTCTTCAGTGAGGTTTCTAGACCCTTAATGTGCTGATGTCCTTCAGTCCAGACCCTGTCCATTGTCCCTTCTAAAGAAAATCAGCTTTCCCCTCTTTCTTTAGGCGAAGCAGGAATACTTTGGGGGGCTGGACTTTCGGTCTCTTGTGTGAGCGCATCTTCTCTCCTACTTCCACAGGAATGTCTCACCACCTGCTCTTGAGTGTTTGGAGTTATGTGGCATAAATCAGGTTACTTGTCAGCTTTCCTTGAATGCCAGTTGAGGAGTTAGCTTTCTTGAGTCTCTTTTAAATGTTACTGATATTGTCTTTGCCCTCACTGTTCTTGTCCTTAAGAGTTCATGCCTTTAAAAATGTCCCTTCTTTGTACTTCTCATGGAACGTGGGAGGAAGCTGAGGTAAATGGACGTTTTCACTCAACCATCTGCACATGACAGTGATGTTATCTCTTCAGAGTTGAGGCCAACTCTGGTTATTTTCATGACTCCTACCAAATATTATCAGTTGGCATGCTGGTATGCTGTGGGACAAATGCATGGAACAAGAAAAACATACTTATCTCAAATAAACCTTATTGTATCCATAGATTTGACTTGGATTAATTTAGTCGTTAGTGTGTTTCTCTTTTAAAATTTTAATTACCTACTTTCTAAAGAATATATTAATTTACATCTCTGGGTGAAACAGGAAATAGTGTCTCATTTCCGTTCACTGTTGTTGACTTAGGGAGGATGGGCACTTCTGCAGAACTGCCATCTGGGGCTCGATTTCATGGATGAGCTAATGGACATAATTATAGAAACCGAGATTGTACATGATGCTTTCCGCCTATGGATGACCACCGAAGTTCATAAGCACTTTCCCATTACGCTCCTTCAGATGGCCATTAAATTTGCCAATGAGCCTCCACAGGGCCTCCGGGCAGGATTGAAAAGAACATATGGCGGTGAGTCGAGGAATACTTCCAAGTTTATGGGATTTTTTTTTTTTTAATGGGACTTCTTTGTTTTTTTTTTTTTTTAAAGATTTTATTTATTTATTCATGAGAGACAGAGAGAGAGAGAGAGAGGCAGAGGGAGAAGCAGGCTCCCAAGGAGCAGGGAACCCAATGCGGGACTCGATCCCAGGACCCTGAGATCATGACCTGAGCCAAAGACAGACGCTTAACCATCTGAGCCACCCAGGTGCCCTTAATGGGACTTCTTATACTTAAATTTGTTGTCTTTTAATGAAATTATAAAAACAATGAGCTAGGATGGAGCTATAGCAAATTGTCCTGTTATTTAATGTGATGGGGAGAGGGTGGTACCTTGTCATGCTCCATGTGGAATATGCTCTGGTGGCCTCAGGGCATCAGAAGTCACCATTATCCACCTTGAATTTTCCCTTTTTCCCATATTGCTCTTCTTTGGCCTGTGCTCTTCTCCAGCTAGATACCTGCCTTTTTATGTTAACATAATTTTGTCATTTATGGTCTTCATGCTCCCTACCTAAAGTTGGCCAGTAGCCTTTTCCAAGAGGAGAGGCTGAGTTCAAGTTATGACCTGCCTCCATTTCATGAAGCCATCTGAACCATCTACAGTTTTTATTGAGTTGATAACAAGGCTCAAATTCTTGTCAGTCTGCGAGGTAATGTGGGGATAAAATAGATGTGGAAGGATGAGGGCAGTAAAAAAATTCTAAATAAAAAATATACAGTTATATATAATATAAACACATATAATAATGATAATTATTAGGGGAATATACTCAGCTTTGGTAGGCTTCTATATACACTGTCTTAATTAATATTAAATTGTTAGTAGTATATACAGAAGCCCGTTGCAACCTGAGTACAGGTTCCAAATAATAATAATAATAATGGCAATAATAAATAATTATTATTAGTAGTAGTTTAAATAGTAGCATTTATAATACTAGTAATAGTATTATATATATATATATATTTTTTTTAAAGATTTTATTTATTTATTTGACACAGAGAAAGATAGTAAGAGCAAGAACACAAGCAGGGGGAGTGGGAGAGGGAGAAGCAGGCCTCCCGCTGAGCAGGGAGCCCGATGCAGGGCTCGATCTCCGGACCCTGGGATCATGACCTGAGCCGAAGGCAGACGCTTAACGACTGAGCCACCCAGGCGCCACCAGTAATAGTATTATATTAAATAATATTAAATTATTAGTAATAAATAATACTAATATTAGTAATAGTATTTAAAATACTAGTATTTTAGTAGTAGTATTCATTTTACTGCCATCCTTCTTCTCCCTCTAGTTTATCCCCACCATATCTTGTCAGAGTGGCAGGAACTTGACCCCCATGTTAGCCGGCTCCCAACCACCTCCCCCAATCTCTTTGCAGATTTTTCAGAGAGAAATACCCTCTGGACACCCAGAGGTTAAATTATAATTGTCATATGAATGTGATAAAAATAATTCAAGATAAGTGAATTTTACTATCAGAAATTTACAAAAATACTTCATAACCTCTAAATGTAATAAAAAATAAAGGTGTGTGAGTGACGATCAAGGTTTTTACCCCACCAACCATGACAGGTGTGAGCCAGGACCTGCTGGACGTGAACACTGCAGCCCAGTGGAAACCCATGCTCTATACTGTGGCTTTCCTGCACTCCACAGTCCAGGAGAGGAGGAAGTTCGGTCCTCTGGGGTGGAACATCCCCTATGAATTTAATCAGGCCGACTTTAATGCCACTGTGCAGTTCATCCAAAACCACTTGGATGACATGGATGTCAAAAAGGTACTGCGTGTGCGCCGCCCTGAGCTGCCGGTGGCTGTGGGCGCGGGTCCTCAGGCTCATGCTCCTGCCCAGCTGGGGGATTGATCCTGTGACAGTGATGATCTTCTGTGCTTGCAAGGTCTTACCTTTATGTAACGCCAACTAGGTCACACTTGCCCCTGGATTTCAGATGAAGAAAATGAACCAATTTTGATTATCTTTGTATTTCTCGAAGCTGAGTTGAAATTACTTGCAAGGCAAAAGGGTCGAATGGGAGGGGGGAAGGGTGAGAAAACTTGTTTTTTAGAATCTTAAAAAATGAAAATGAAAGTCTAGATCACTTTTGAAGCATGTGCTTTTTAAAGAGCTGCGTCAGTATTCTGCAAAACTATCTTTTTGTTGTTGTGGTTGAAATTAAAGTATGAAAGCATATGAATGCACCAAAGGGGCCTATTTCAAATCATGAGCAGGAGCTTTGTGTAATCCTCAAGATTTGGCTATGTCATTTTCTTCCTGCACTTTTAACATTACTGATGGAGAATGAATGAATGACATCCGTGACCACAAATATACAGATGTTGCTTGGCGGGGAAAATCAGGATGAGCCGGTAGTCAGTTCTACACAACTATTCTGTTGATGTCCGCAGGGTGTCTCCTGGACCACCATCCGCTACATGATAGGAGAAATTCAGTATGGGGGCAGAGTCACTGATGACTATGATAAGAGGTTGCTGAACACATTTGCTAAGGTCTGGTTCAGTGAAAATATGTTTGGATCAGATTTCAGCTTTTACCAAGGATATAATATTCCGAAATGCAACACAGTGGATAACTATCTTCAATACATCCAGGTTTGTCCACTTCAGAATTATATGCAGAGAGCAAATATATGCAGCCTATTGACCACTTTGATATTTATTTAAAAGCGGCTGCAAACACTGCTTTTAAAATAAATTTTAATGGTGATACATACTCTCACTGTAAGTGCTTTCTTCATATGTTTATAGTCACCTAATGATTAAAATGTTTGTATTTGTTCTGAGTGTGGGTTTTGTATGAGTTCCCTCCTCCCTTCTTTTTTATACCTCGGTGAGGAATATTCGTTGGGGATATGACAGACTGGGCAGATTTTGAACTAGGGAAACTATATAGATCCCTGGGAACTCTCGAGACTTCAGCTACTTGTGATAATAGGGCAAAGGCCACCTCTGGACTCATCCTGAGACACCTGGTTCGCAATCCTGGCTGAATGGATAGAATCTGAGTATGTTCAGGAACCCGCTTTGCATAGGAGCTTCCTTCCTCAGCCTGGGCACCGGTGACATTCAGGGCGGGGTTCTTCTCAGCGGTGAGGGGCTGTCCTGTGTACATTGGTTAGCGCATCCCTAGCCTCTCCCCACTAGATGTCAGCAGCACCCCCCATCCCCATCTAGTTGTGACAACCAGAAACGTCTCCAGACGTGCCAAATGTCCCCTGGGGGCAAAATCGCCCCGGCTCAGAATTGCTCTTCCAAGGAGAAATAAGATTTTGCCAGGAAGTTTGGGGGGAAAGATCTGATTTGTGTTTCAAGGTAACTACATTTTTTCTTCTCTGTACCTTGAACCCATTAGATCATTATTTAGAAATGTCTTTTGGGGCACCTGCGTGGCTCAGTCAGTTAAGTTTCTGCCTTCGGCTCAGGTCGTGATCTCCGCGTCCTGGGATCCAACCCCGCGTCAGGCTCCCTGCTCAGTGTAGAGTCTGCTTTTCCCTCTCCCTCTGCCACTCCCCCTGCTTGTGCTCTCTCCCTCTCTCGCTCTCTCTCAAATAAATAAATTAAAAAAAAATCTTTTTTTTTTAAAAGAAATCTCTTTGCCTCTATCTGAGATTTATCTCAGAGTGAACAAACTAAAGCCCAATGGCCCCAAAGGGCTAAATTTATCAGTACATTTAGAGGTTCTGTGATATATGAATGTAATGAGTTTATCATATATTACCACCTCTACACTTTTATTAATTCAAATCAACAAATATATTTGTCTTAACTGTACTATATATGTCTTTAAATCATTAGCCCTGAATACAAAAGTGCCTGTGAAGATATAAATTTAGACATGCCAGTACATGCATTTATTTACATATACCTCATTTCACAATGAACTTGAGGTTGTTCATAAGAAGACATTATATAAAAAGGAATAAAATAAGAGAGGAGATTGTAGGAAAAATATGAGACAATAATAGAGTTTAGGATACAATTCACACATTGAAACCAATGTCAAATTTAGGTATATCTTTTTTCTTTCAAATAGCTGTGTTCTTCACCTGCTTGTGCTGCTTCTGATCGTCTCTTGCTGTCTGCTTTTCTCTTGGACTTGGTCACTCTTGATATTCCTCTTTTCCTAGTCTCCATCTTTCTCCCTGGGAGAGTACAGTTTCCACCTGCCGCCTTCTTTGAGCCATAATTGCTAAAAACTGTCATTTTCTGGTACCTTAAAAACATAGAAACCATTAGTTATACCACATTTGTTTAAATGATTGGTTCGAATTAAATCAGACCTTCAGATAATGAAATACTAATCCATAGCTCCCTTTCTGTTTTGTGTTTTCTAAAACAAGACAGTATCTCTGTGACTGAATTTGCTTGAGGTGCAGAGATGTTAAGGAACCATGAACTTGTTATGTTTCTCAGTGTTCATCCTATTTCAAGCCAACTTTTGATTCTTTTCTGGAGAAATTACTGAGATTGCAGCCTGACACAAATAAGACATATCATGTAAATACTTATCTTTTTTGGTGGTGGTGGTGGAGGGGGTTATTTGATGTTATTCATTTATTTTAAAATTTGAGTATAGTTGACACACAATGTTAACATGACATATCTTAATAAAAATATTTGTTTCCTAAGACAGTATAATTTAATGGGGGCTTATGTCAGCAATCTGGGATAATCTGGGGTACTTCTTGTTCAGAGCCTGCCTACCTACGACAGCCCCGAGGTGTTCGGGCTGCATCCCAATGCCGACATTACCTACCAGAGCAAGCTGGCCAAGGACGTGCTGGACACCATCCTCAGCATCCAACCCAAGGACAGCTCTGGTGGAGGGGATGAGACCCGGGAGGCTGTGGTGGCCCGGCTGGCTGATGATATGCTGGAAAAGCTGCCCCCGGACTATGGCCCATTTGAAGTGAGTTGATGACATTCTGACAGGATGTCAGCTGTGGATGTGTCTGTTCGGTTGGGAGGAGCGAGGAGTAAGGAAGGAGGGCAAACAATGATTTTTCTGAAGTTAAAAAAAAATTCAAAAACTCACTTCCTGAAGAACCAGAAAAAAATAAGTTTTTAAATCTATAAATGTGATCATTTTGAAATGTAAACAGTAAAGAACCCTGACAAGAATGTTCATGTTCGTAACTACGTTCTAAGTGTGTACCGATGGGTTAGGATTGCTTTTCCAGAACTTTCCTTTGAGGTACGTCACATTGCCATTTGTTCGAAGGAAAGTAATGTATTTTTAGAGCAAAACACCTGATCATCTAAAAAATATTGTGTAACTTAATGCACATCTTAAAATTCAGGCCTTCCTAATTTTAGGGAGTTTGTATTTACATCATTAACTCTGCAGCTTCATGGGTTTTGAAAATTGATTTGTCTTTTTAGTATGTAAGTAACTTTTAAGCCAAATTTATGATTAGGAAAGTTCATTTTTTAGACAGTTTAGCAAATGTTAGTGAAAAGATTTACCCTGAAAACATTTTAGAATCTGGGATAAAAGCACTAGTGACTGACTGACTTTCCATGTAGTCTTAGCAGATGCCCCAGACTAACTGTCTAACACTTTTTTTTTTACCTGGTTTTCAAAAAAGAAACCTGCAGCGTTTTGTTTCTTTAGCATCTTATTATTTTCCACAAAGCAGACCATTTTTGTTGCTGGTGCTGTAGACTGAACTCAAGGACCTATTACGAAGGGAAAAATTTCCCCTTGAGAAAACTGATCACTTGTTGGAGAAAATCAATACCACTATCAGCTTTAATAAGTACCTCTCCTTATAGTATCAGGAAAGAGGTCATTCATATCTAACGGTGGTTGAAATACTTATGAAGCAATAAAAATATCTAAAAATAGAATAGCAGTTACATAAATAAACGTGCTAAGTAATGGAGTTTAGGAGAGTCCCCTTCCTCTGGCTGACTGTCAGTGCTGCCTTAGGATAAAGCAACTCAGCCCAGCAGGATAGCTGATCCAGAGAAGATGCTCAATAAATACTTATAGAATGGAAATAGGTGGATTGGTGGGTGGGTTGGTCGGTGGATGAATGGAAGGATGCTTTGATGGAAAAAACAGGAAGCTTTTAAAACAGGAGTCTGTCTTTTGATGTAGCCCGCAGAATGGTTGTGTGTGTGTACATGTCTGTGTGTGTCTGTGTGTGTGTTTGCCAGCCTTAGGCCGCCAGGCACGTGAACATTTCCTGATGAGCGCAGTTGCAATTTGGAAGGCTGGGTGATTATGGTCATGCGTTCACATTCTTCTGTGAATGAATGGCTGCATATTCTCTCCCACCTGGGATGCAAAATCAGCTGGTCCACTAACAGATGTGTCTTTTTATATTTCTTCTTTGTTTTCTGGCAGTGAAAAAAAAATTAAAAGCTTACCATTAACGGAATTGTACAATCAGGGGCCTTCTCAGCAGCCCCAGGGAACCGGTTACGTAAATATTAGTAGCTGTCACATTTTTAACATGTGCTGAATGTCTCCGTGGCAGGTGAAAGAGAGGCTCCAGAAGATGGGGCTGTTCCAGCCGATGAACATTTTCCTCAGGCAGGAGATAGACCGAATGCAGAGGCTGCTCACTCTGGTCCGCAGCACCCTGACTGAGCTAAAACTTGCTGTTGATGGTACCATCATCATGAGTGAAGACCTAGGAGATGCACTGGACTGCATGTTTGATGCCAGAATTCCTGCTCGGTGGAAGAAAGTATGTTCAAGTCCACTCCTACTCTACTTCATCACTTTAGTGTTGTGAGTAGGTGGGATTGGCAAGTGGAAAGCAGGAGAGCACAGTTTTACTTAAAAGGGTTCTTTTGTTTAGGGACTGATCCCCTGGTAGGCCTGTAGTTTTAGCTTTTAGGGAGGGAAGGAGACTATTTAGCATCTCCCACATATCAGGCACTCTCCTGGGCCATTGACATGCATAATTGCATTTAAATTTTTGCATCTGATGGCCCTCATTTTACAGGTGAGGAACTTGAGATTGGGAGACACTAAATCTTTTCCCAGATCACACACCTACCTAAGAAGTCCAGGGATCAGAATTTAAACCCAAGCTCTTGAACTTCAAAGCCTGTGTTGTTAGTCTTATAGAAGGAAGTGTTCTTGTGCACACACATGCACACACACACACACTGCAAAAGTCACACCAAAGAGAAACATTTTTCATTGCTTTGTCTGTAGATATGTGAGTATGTGTATCTCCAGGTAACAAGATAATGATTTAACGGTATGCTTACTGATCATGTGCTGGTCCTTATGCTAAATGACAGATATGCTTTTAACAAATACTTGTCTACTTGGAGAAGTAAAAGGAGTACCAGACTGTCTTTGTCCAGCAGTACTTGCGTTGTGGGGGGTGGTGAAGATCTGGGGGTGTGGTGGGGAGCACCGGGGAGGGCGTGGGGCTGGGGCTGGGCCAGGTGAGGGAATGTGCAGGGAGGGCAGCATTGGGAGATGGGATAGGGTCATGCGGTGACTAGAGTCTTGGTCTTTTGGAGGCTACTCAGGTAAACGGGAAGGCGAGACCTAATAGGGTTAGAACTGACAGCCTCTTGGAAGAGACTCATTTAGCACTGAGACTCTGATATCTCACCCAGGGCTTTAGAAACCCGGGTCAGCTTTGACCAGACTCCATCCTCTCCTCACCTTCAGTGAATTCATTCCCAAGGCCAGAGTTTTCTATGGACTGACTTTCCTTGTTGCCAGTGACAGAGGGAGAACCTACCTGTCACTAGCCATTGCAGGTTCATTCCCCACCAAACCGACTCACTCACCTTGGTCAGCACCTGGAAGGCTCTGAACAAGGATCCTTGGCAGGAGGGTCCCTCGCATTAATGGTTCCCTGTGCCCTCAGATCAAATGCAGTATAAACATATCACTTTCAGTTAACACATCTATAAAGATAGGATAGAATGAGTTACCTGATTTTAAAATTATGATCCTTTTTTTACAGGTTTTTATTCTACTCAACTTATTGTCAGTCTTTGGAATCTCACTGTTTATAGGCAAATTAATTCTTAAGAATTTGAAATTCAAGCAGTATATATCTACACAAGTTGATCACTGCATTTATTCATACATAAAGTATTCCAATTACAGTAAAATGATATAAAATATGATTTGGAGATACCTACCTGTAGAGTTGCTGCTAACACTAATAACATATCCATGCCAATTGTAATAATAGAAGTTCTACATGTGAATTCAGGCAGAATATTACAGGCAATGAATGCAATTAATTTGTTGGTGGTAAGGGACCTGTGTTTCCATTTCTGCTCCTTCATCAGAGGAAATAAAAGTTCATTCTCGGGGACAAGAACTTCGGAAAATAACTGTTGTTTGCCTCATTAAAAATGAGAAGTGGAGAAAGTCTTCTATGATTTATTATCCACAGAATATATTTTTAAGAGACCATGAACACATTTATGTAAATAGAAGCCTTGTTTTATGATGTAGCTGTTAAAAATGTAACCTAAGGAGAAAAAATGTATCCTAAGGAGGAAAAATAGTTGAGACCTATTAAATTTAATTCAATTAACTGTTTTAATTGCTTTATAGCAGAATTGGTAGTGAATATACTTGTACTTGAACAGCATCCTGAGTGCTAGATTGATCTGGAGTTCATGTGACGATTAACTGATTCTATCGTATCTTAATATCAGGAGAAAGAATAATTTGAAAACTTAAATGTCAGAACCGAAGGGAAATTCATGTTTTAGGGACTTTTAAATTCTAAAAGTGAATTTGGTATTTCATAATTTTTTTCTGTGCACATAGCTAGTTACACAGCAGAATTAAGCCTGTATTAATTAATTATTTCAATGTATGCATTTCAGGCATCATGGGTTTCAAGTACATTGGGTTTCTGGTTTACTGAACTTCTAGAAAGAAACTGCCAGTTTACCTCTTGGGTTTTCAATGGTCGACCCCAGTGCTTCTGGATGACAGGTTTTTTTAACCCCCAAGGATTTTTAACTGCAATGCGCCAGGTAATAGTTCTGATTACACCTGTTGTGTTATTATGATTTTCTTCTACAAGGTTTTCTTCTGTCAGTATAGTTTTAAGACTATAATGAGACAGAGAAAGGCTGTCCCTTTTTGGCACCAGAAATTACATTGTCCTGAAAGTAAATCCAGCAATTTGTTCTCAGGCTGCTAGCTTGAATTTCAAAGCATTTATTTGTTATCTTTATATTTGATATAATTTGATATTTCTTTGTAAAATACAGTGGTTAAACTAGGACGTGGGTATTGTTTATGAGAGGATCTTTTTAACTCTTAAAGTACAATTCTGCTTCCTCTGAATTAGGGTACTTTGGGGTTACACTTTCATCACTGTTATGCTCTTTATGTTAAGATAAACCGCTAATCACTCCCTCCGTCCTTTGCTCTTGTTCTTGTCCTGAGCAGGAAATAACTCGGGCCAACAAAGGCTGGGCCTTGGACAATATGGTGATTTGCAGTGAGGTCACCAAGTGGATGAAGGATGACATTTCCGCCCCGCCCACCGACGGTGTCTATGTCTACGGCTTGTACCTTGAAGGTGCTGCTTGGGACAAGAGGAACATGAAACTCACCGAATCCAAACCAAAAGTGCTCTTTGAGTTGATGCCTGTCATAAGGATTTATGCAGAAAACAACAGTAAGTTATCTCACGCATTCAGGGGCGGTTGGCGTTATCAGATTGGATAATGTTATAAACACAAGATTCTTGTTATAAAAACAAGAATCCTGAGGATTTTACTATTTTATCAGCATTTGCACTCACACCCATGTTTAACGAGTGCTTATTGACTGCTAGGCACTTTTTTGAGTGTTACAGGGGAGGCCATGGTTCTAGATCATTCTTGCCTATCTACTAAAGCAGGTAAAATATATATGGATACTCATGAATCATTAGCTGATGAGATAAGAAGCAAGTGTTTGGAATAGTTAACAGAGGGTGGGAAAGAAGGGGAGGTGAAAATGGGAAGAAGTGGCCGGGGGCTGTGTCTCAGGAGCAGAGCTGGACAGGGCCTGGAAGGTTGGATAAGATGAGATGGGACAAGGGGTGGAAGGGTGGCTTTCGAGGCAGGACTGCACAGGGCCCACTGGAGGTGCCGACTCTACCAGCTCGGAAGTTTAAGTCACATTGTGAAAGCCAGATTGAATTCAGGGCCATTTGGCTTAATCCAGTAGCTAATAGTAAAAAGCTGGATTCGTATTTCAGCCTATGAACATAATAGCATGTCTGTGAAGCACACGTTATTCCACTTTGACAAAGTTCTGTGTGACAAGTCTAAAAATACCTAAACTGGTTTCCACCATTGGCCTGATGTGCTCTGGAGGCTTTTTTTTTTTTTTTAAAGATTTTATTTATTTATCTGAGAGAGAAAGAATGAGACAGAGAGAGCATGAGAGGGAGGAGGGTCAGAGGGAGAAGCAGACTCTCTGCCAAGCAGGGAGCCCGATGCGGGACTCGATCCAGGGACTCCAGGATCATGACCTGAGCCGAAGGCAGTCGCTCAACCAACTGAGCCACCCAGGCGCCCTGGAGGCTTTTGTTATTACATTTCACTCAGCTGTAACTACCTTTCAGCACACGTGGGACTTCTCTGTTTATCTCAATTAAAAAAAATGTATTTTATCTTTTTAATAAAAATCGCATATACTTAAGGTGTACAACATGATGATGTACACATACATATATGCGGTGAAATGATTGTTGTAAGCCTTGCACTCTGGAGGCGGCTGGGATAAGGGATCCCAAGGAAATAACTGATTTTGTGACAGAAACACAATAGATTTTTCTTTAAACGAGTAAGGAATAGACCATTTCTCTTTGAAAGACAGCTTCTAGGATCCCCGTTCCTTAGATAAATATCACATTTGGGAACACGGGTCAAGGGAAGAGAGTTTATAAACTATGAATATTTATTTTTTAAGCAAATATTTGCTGGACGGCTGATAATACGCCAGCCACTGTCCTAGGTGCAAAGGACACAATGATGAAACAGATCAAGCCCATAAGGGATTCCCTCCAGTTAGGGAGACTGACAAGTAAATCAATAATTAAAGTGGAATTTGATACATGTGAGGATAGAGATACACTCAGGATGCTCAGGGAGCCGGGAAGTAGTTCATGACGATGCCTGCGAGGTTAGTGGAGATTGCTTTGGAGATGTGCTTTGATGCTAAGAATGAGTGTGAGAGGAGTTGGAGATAGACTTTTCTCGGCAGAGGGAAATAGCATTAGCTCACTCGGTCATTCAGTGAGTATCTGTCTGGTATTGACCATCTGCCGTGCTCTACTCTGGTGCTGGGGATGCAGCAGTATCCCCATTCTTAAGGAACCCAGTGTCGAGGAGGGACGGGCAGCAAGAAGGAAGCAAATACAGCTGACCCTTGTTACTCATGGATTCTGCACTTAGGAATTCACCTGTACTTTAAATCTGTAACCCCCGAATGCATGCATGTGGCAGGTCATTTGCCGGCAGAAGAAGACTGTGACGTGCATTATGGAGAAAATACGTGTCTGACACAAGGTTCAGTGAAGCATGAGTTAAATGCCATGAGTCCAATGTTCATGAATCAACAATATATATTAAAAAGGTGTCTTTAAACAAAAACACACCTACAGTAAGGTTATGTATTGAGGGGTTGAAAACTTTGGGACCGGAGGCTTGCAGGAAACCTGCCCTGTATTTCAAAACCCTTGGAACAGTGGTTCAGTAGTTGCTAATTCAGTGTTCCTGGAGATTTTATGTACATAAGTCCCATGATAATGAGAATCGACTCTAAATCCACATACTGGTTTCAGATAGTTCTTTTCTATGAAGGAAACACACACGTACTATGCTAGCGAGTGGATAGTTCAGGGGCTTGGGGAGAGGCTCACTGAGGAGAGAACACTGAGCTGAGATCCGGGTGACGGAAGGCAGCTCTGCTCATATCCAGGAACAAAGGCGAAGGTGCAAAGGCGTGAGGTAGCAGTGGATATGCTGTGCATGAGGAACAGGAAGTAGGTGCGTGAAGGGAGAGGAGCCCGTGAAGAGAGGTGGGCGTCAGAAAAGAAACAGGCAGGTGCTCCACATACCCCAACTGAATCTGACAGGATAAATGTGTCTGGCTGAGCTTAGGCAAGCAAGCTGCCTGTGGCTTCGGATTTACTGGTTCTTAGGGTGGTGTGAAGACCTGGGGCAGTGGTTATTTTATAGAAAAAATCATTAAGAGTTCTTTTTAATCAAAAGAATATTTTAGAAATTTTGCTTTATTGTATCATTCGGTCCAGGCAACACATTGCAAAAACGTTTCCCTTATAAAGTAAAAGAAGAATCTTCCTCACATTCAGTTAGGTGTTACTTTTATGTATCTTGTGACTAAACTGTAAAAATCCATTGCAACATGATTTTGAACATCTCAGCATGGTATTAATAAAATAATAATTTTATAATACAGGCCGTTCTTTATTATTTAAGAACACATTTTAATAGAACAACTGTACTCACCCTACTGGGAATTAGTCAGCAGCAGTGATGCTCATTAGCAGCAAGTTAAGGGAGAAAATAAAATAAGCAAAGGAAAAAGTGACTAATTTCAAAGCACTGAAAAAAAAAAAAGAGAAACTTTCATTCTTTTCTCTCTTTCTTTCTTTCTTTCCTTTTTTTTTGTTTCAATAGCAGTTGATGGAAACTTGTTTTGCCAAATAGCTTTGTTGTTGGAGAAGTGTTTTTCAGTGATTGAAAAGCTAAAATTCCATTGCTCTTTTCATACTATAAATCTAATTTTTGTTTAATTTTGATAACTGAATAGGGCTCTAATTGAGCTAAAGGGGTGTAGCATCACTAATGACCAAAGGACACTCCTTAAAGTACAGTGTTTTAAAGTTAAAATTCTTTTAGTAAATTGTTTTTTTGTTGACATGAAGGGTAACTTTTATTTAAATAATTCATCATTGAACTTTCCGTATAAGACTGGTTTGTTTTCAAAAAGAAGTCTAGATATTTATTTTGACATTAAAAATTGCATAATATGTACCCAAATGCTTAGGACATCATAAGAAAGTCACCCAGATAATGTGACGTTCACCAAAAGGGCAAAGCCTGCCACATCAACTCTAGGTCCTCTGCTCTCAAAGGAAGTTGCAAAGAAGCAGACATAGGAAAGATACGTGTCCCTATAGATTACTATATAGACAGACTGATGCTTCTTCATGAACTTCAGGGTGATAGCCAATGTGATGGGAAAATGGTGATTGGAAACTTTGGGGAACAAAGCAAGACCTCTGTGTACCTCTGGGCACTCGGTAGGGTGAGAAGGATCTCAGGGTCTCTGCAGCTAAGGAGGAAAAAAGTGTTTCTAAGATCACCCTATGACCCTCCCTGATCCAACGCTGTGCAGATGTGGGGCTGGGCGTGGGATAGCCCCATGCCGTGACCAGGAGGTGGAGGCCTCCTGACTCTTGAGCCCCATGGAATTTAAGGCACCTTCAGTTTGTATATCTGTGCACGTGTATGTGTGCTCACATGTATGTGTGTGTGTGGAAAGGAGAAATCTAACACACCTTGGGCGTCTACTGCATTTTAAGCATTATGCTATGCTAGTCATTCACATATATTGATTTATTTAATCTTTACAACAACTCTGTAAGATATATCATCCCTATTTTGTAGATGGGGAACTTAAGGTGTAGAGATGTATGAAATTGGCCTATGACTTCCAGCTACCAAAGCTGGTATCAGAATGTGGGATGAATGCAAACCTCTGGGAATTCCTGTGGTTAGTGTTCTACTGAAGACTATGCATTTGGGGAGTCTCTGTGGTGTCTGGGTTGAAGCTTCAAAATAAAGCCCAAATTAAAAATGAGGATAGCTTCTTTGCATTTTGAAGTCCTGAGTTTATTTTTCTCAGGCACCTGGTGAAATAGACACAGACTCTGCCCTGTTTGGATGAGAGCTCTCACTCCCTATGGCCTCCTTGTCTGCATGCTGCAGGCTAAAGGTGGTCACGTCCCCGGCCAGATGGCGGGGGTGGGGGGCACATGGTCTCAGGTAAAAGACAGTGAGCCAGGAGCCTGGATATTTGACTTGCACTTCTGGTTTTATCACTAGAGTAATTAGTCATGTGACTTTGGAGGAGTCTCAAATATGCTGTGAGTTGAAGTCAGACATCTAATAGTTATCTCGTTCATTTTCACATCCTCCTGCAAAGACCTAGAGGCACACGCATATTACGTTCTGACTTTTGCTGAGATTAAGGGCAAAGGCTCTTGGCCCATTCTGGCTGGGTTTGATTCTTATCTTATCACCTACAGCTTTGTAACCTTGGACGAATAGCTCACCTTTTTATGTTTTAGTTTTCTCATCTGCAAAATGAATTTCATAATGGTACCCATCCCATAGGGTTGTTAAGAGCATTGAACCCAAAGTTCTAGCACATAGTTAGCATACAATAAATCATTTTGTTATTATTGCTATTATTAATATGTTAACACATGTTTGTTGAAGGATTAAAAGAAATACATAAGAATTCACTAATCACTTAAATGTTATTCTCAAAGAGGAGTTAAATAAAGGAATGACTTAAAGGTTATATAGGGAATCTTCTATGTAACTTGGTTGTTTTGGATATTGGAAGGAACATATGATGCAATGATGTACTACCACTTGGATGAAAAATGTAGGCTAGAGAGGGAAGTGACCTGGTTAGAAAACGAAACTCCCTCAAGGTGTTTTATTAAAACCTTTCAGATCCTAAACCATGGCCTCTCACCGATTTAGACAGCCTCTTGTCTCTGCTCCTCCTTCTGGGACCCTAAGGTTTTAAACATGTTTAGCTGATTTGCTTTACCTACCTAGCATGTTTATTTTTGTCTTCAAAGTTATTTGTCTAACTAGGGCTAATGGTTTTGAATCATCTGTTGATGTGGTTGTTTAGCGTCTGTCAACACTTTGACTATGAAATGATATTTTCAGTGGCTTCTAATCCTGCTGTGGAAGTTGGCTGCATGCTGTGATTTGGGATGGGCACCTTCAGTTCTGCAGCAATTACAAATAAATAAAATTGGATAAATATGTCAGAGAATTGTTTTTTACCTGCTTATTGAAAAGAATGCTATTTCCCCTCCCAATTTGTCTTTTCTTTTGGGATTAAAATCCAAGTAGTCATATACTTCCCAAGGTGTAATTATTACAATTACATATATTTATTATTACATGTATATTATAATTACATTTGCACCAAATGTGAGACTACAGTGGGTTCCTTCAAGATTTAAAATGTTAGTCAAATTTGCATCAAGAAGAACGACAGTTAACACTTATTATATATTTACAGATCCCAGGATTAAGGGATTTAATTTTATCAATCAGCACTGTTAGTATTAACTACACTCCATGAATTCACTGCCATTCACTTACTTAATCAGAATTTTTGATATATTTGCCCAATAATTATTACTAATGATATTCTCATGGTAATTAAAAAAAATAACACCTAGACTTAAAAATTAGGTATTAAATTAATTTAGATTGGTTCTAATGATTAATTTCATGGGATTAAGCAAACACATAGGTTTAAAGTACTGTAAAGTATCTATGAGTCTGTTTTAGAACAGGGTTCCCTGACCTCGGTATTATTGATATTTTTGGTCCAGATACCCTTTGTTGGGGGTGGGGGAATGTGCTGTGCGTTATAGCGTGTTGGCAGGATCTCCGGCCTCTGTCCACCAGATGCCAGGAGCAGTCTCACGGTTGTGGTAACCAAAAATATCTCCGGATATTCACAAATGTCCCCCAAGAGTAAAATCATCGTTGGTTAAGAATCACTGCTTTAGAATATTTACTTTATATTGAAACTTAATGTATAATATCATCATGTTCAAGTGTTTAACTTCTTCCAATAAAATTAATCACAGTGGAGGTATAAAAACACATGGCAAAGCAGATAGAAGGTTTTATTGGGTCAAAAAGCGAGATCTTAACTTCTGAGAGTGGCTTGCTTTTGGAATGTATTAGAAAAAGATAAATTATTGCGCAAGTTAGTTTTGGGAACTAAATTCCACAATATGTCAACACTGCACGTAGAGTTCAGAGGTACTGTTTCCAAGTTTCAGTGCTCATGGGCCTGTATCACACAAATTCACCAAAGCAACGTTCTCCTCCTTGTTAAACCTGTTTCTGTCTGAATGTTTATGTGAGGGTCATGTATGATGTTGGCCTTCCGGAGGAACGTATGGATGGGTGCAGACACCACGTCTGTGCTGAAACGATTTTGGAAGAGAAGAAGAAATAGTGTCTTGCTTCCTGAGCCGGATGCTAGGAGATGTGCAGATGAATTACGTGGGCGGTGTAGATTGAACGAGAAGCTGAGGAAGCTAAAGTTCCAAGCTGCTCAGTGCAGGGGCTTCTTCCAAAGCCTAATCTGGTATTTGTAAATGTTTACTCCTTTTCTTAAAGCCCTGTGCCAACCCCATCTCCCGCCCCCCCCATTGTATAAATATAAGGATCCACATACACATAACCACATAGTTTTGGAAACTGTATGTTTTCATCTACTTGAAAAAGGTGGATTGCATCTCAGGGAGTTGAACTGTGCCTTGGCTGTCTGCTTTCAGCCACGTCTCTTCCTCTGCACACATGGATAGCTCACAACCCCTGTGATTTCAAATGTAGTTTAGGCTATGGCACAGAGGGTCAAAGGCAGGATTTTGAAATCATAATCTTAATAAAGTGAAATACTAGTGAGCCTTGGTGCTGGACATCTGATTAACAGTGACAGGTGCCTTGAGCCAAAGGAAAGCTGTGAGAGAAAAATGGAGAGGGTATCCATGCACAAGATTTGGTGGGGAAGTAGAGGAGAAATTGTGGAGAGGGCATGCTGAATTGATGGGTAGAAAGGAAGCAGTGGGAGGTTCATGGTCATTTCATGTGGGCAGGGGTTATTGTCAAGGACATGGGACAAGGGGCAGCGGGACAAACCTGAAGATGTCCGGGTGTTTTGTCACACTCCCTGGAAACCTGCAGTTGCATCTGCTTCACATCTAGGGACTGTCTGACCTCAGGAAGAAGCTCTCATTCTACCAAAACCTTGGAATGATCTTTTTTTTTTTTTTTAAAGATTTTATTTATTTATTTGAGAGAGAGAGAATGAGAGACAGAGAGCAGGAGAGGGAGGAGGGTCAGAGAGAGAAGCAGACTCCCTGCCGAGCAGGGAGCCCGATGCGGGACTCAATCCAGGGACTCCAGGATCATGACCTGAGCCAAAGGCAGTCGCTTAACCAACTGAGCCACCCAGGCGCCCCTGGAATGATCTTTAGAATGCACAAATTTGACCCTGCATGCTGTTTGGGCTGCTTAATTTTGAAATTCACCAAGGTTTTTTTTTGTGGATTTTTTTGTAGCTTTAAGAGATCCTCGGTTTTATTCCTGCCCCATTTACAAGAAGCCAGTCCGAACGGATCTGAATTACATCACCGCTGTGGACCTCAGGACAGCACAGGTCCCTGAACACTGGGTGCTCCGTGGGGTTGCCCTTCTCTGTGATGTCAAGTAACATGGGGTGTGTCCCCACCCAAAACTTCAGAAAATCCAAATTATCCTAACCTTTGTTTGTCTGTGAGTGCTGAACAATGTATAAATCAGGTTGATCATGCAGTTAATGAGCTGCGTAGGTTTTCCTACTCCTTAGTTGGACGCTTAATTCCTTTTAACCTGCTTCATCCTTAATGACCAATCCCTGTGTTTGTTGAAAAGTTATTTGGTGATTTAAAAGCAAAATTTACAACTTCCTAATGAAGTGTGGCCCGCAAATCCACAGTGATGCATTCAGGTCCAAAGACTGGGTAAGGTCAAGCAGACATTTCCTTGAAGTGATTATTCTTCTGCTAATGTGGTTCTGGTAACAGCCAGCCCTGTTCTCTAAGGTAACGTGGCAGCTTTGTGCTGATTTTGCTTCTGTGGCCTTTTGCCCTTAGGTCAGGTTAAGAGATTTGTTTTCAGGGCTCAAGCAGCCATTTGGGAAGACCTTTTAGAAAATGGGAGGAAATAGAATGGGTTAAGAATGTGAATAGATGAATAGACAATTCATGTAATCTTACAGAATAAACATATAGAATGATGTTCAACCCCACTGATAATAATGAGATACTGATTATAATAAAAAAAATTAAAGCTGAAAGTGAATTGTGGTGAAGTCTTTGTAAAAGTGGTATGCTTAGAGATTCCTAGAGCAATGGAAATCAACCCATCTTTTTGGTAAAATAATTAAATATCCAAGCACAGAAAGAGCCATAAAAATGTTCATATGCTTTGAGCCTTATCTTCTCTCCTGGAAATCTATACCAAGAAAATAATTGAAAAGGCTGAAGTGATTTATATATCAAAATGTATTTAATAACAGAAAACAGTGGGAGCACCCTACTGTGTTCAATACTAAGTCTATACTTAAGGAAGTTAGGGCATATGAGGCAGCCATGATAAACAGGATCAAACCTTTCTTAGCATGGAAATGGTAAACACGTACTATGAAGTGAAAGACATACCTCAGAAAATAACAGGTTGACTTGAAAGGGTGTAATGATTGGAAGACCAGGCAAAGAATAGAAGTCAGTTGGTGTGGGGGGATGCCACGTGGGCTTTTATTAATAAAGAAAATACTATCTGTGGAACTTTTCACAGATTCTTATTTTAAATCCTGGTTATAAATTATAAACTGCTTTGTCTATAACTTACTGACTAGAAAACTTGGTCAAAATTATATTAGAGTTGTGGTCTACAAATGATTGCTTAACTTCACGTCCGCCTAACTTCATGTTTCTGGTGATAAAGCGTTTTATAGGGAGGAAGGGCTGCAAGGAGATAGGTCTGGGTCCTTCTCCTTTTATGTTAATTATGGTCAGAGGTAGGCCTGAGGGGTTCATGTGACCCTACCCATCTTGGACGATACTCTTCATTTGAGAGCTTCTTTTGGTCTGAATTAATATATACCAGTTGATTGTGTGAAAATCGGTAAAACAATCATTTTATTTTGAAGAACAAATAAGATGTAGGAATGATGTGAATTAGTAAAAAGCTATGAATGAATGTCTGAATTACAACTGCTATTTCTTAGCCAGGGGGCAAGTGCCATTGAGTATCCAGAAATAAGCTTTCAAAACGAGGTTTCTTATCAAGTTTCTTGAAAATGCATAATTTATCTAATTTTGTGAATCACCCTGTTAGTATGTATGTACAAGTGTTTAAGACCAAAGTAGGAAAGGACACCATGGAAACAACTAGAACTTTTTAGGGACTAATTCAACAAGGAATGTCGCTGAAGAAGTGAAGAGCCAATGAAGCCCCTTTCTGCTCCACCTCCATCTCCCACCCTGCAGCTCCCACCCACTGAAAGGTTCTCAGCTTCCACTGAATGGGGTGAGGGTACAAGAGAGGACTAACTCATTGACTCTTCTGGGTGATGGAGAGAGTCACCAACTGCTTGCCTGAGGAGAAAACAACACCCAGAGAGTGTCCTGGTGCCATTGCAGAGTCTTTGTCTTCATCTCAATATTGATTTGCTTAGAAAATTACTTCAGTTTGTCTGACTCCTGTGTGTCAGGAACAATGGTGGGAAAAAATGCTCGTGTTCCCCGAATTCAAGGACTTCACATAAGAGGACTAGACACAGAGAATAAGTGACTATGCAGGTATGTAACTTTATATGATCTCCATGTATGAATGTATAATATGACACATGTGTGAGGTTCATAGAAGGAGGTATGAACATTGGGACTTTAGTGCTATGAAGGAAAAGGCCGGATGCTAGGAGAAGAGCGACAGAGACCACAGCCATTCAGGTGTCATGGATTAGCAGGCAGAAGCCACCCTACAGCGTCCCCATTTATTATTTATTTATTTATTTATTTTATTATGTTATGTTAGTCACCATACATTACATCATTAGTTTTTGATGTAGTGTTCCATGATTCATTGTTTGCGTATAACACCCAGGGCTCCATGCAGAACGTGCCCTCTTTAATACCCATTACCAGGCTAACCCATCCCCCCACCTCCCTCCCCTCTAGAACCCTCAGTTTGTCCCCATTTATTTTTAACTGAGGACATAAAACATTAATAGCAGCAAGGAGCTCCCCTGAGCCAAAGCAGCTGCTGTCTGGCTTTTCCGGGTCCCCTGGTTCTCCTGTGCAGTGGGCTGCTGGTGACACTCTTGATGCAAGTAAAGTCCTTCCAGAGTTGAGACAAAAGAGAACGCTTTGCCACACTGGAACTGTCCTATTAAGCATGGGGCTTACATCACCTTTCCACTTACCTCTGTTTTCTCTGAGCTTCTCTTTGAGGGATCGTTGGCAATCATCGAACCAATTCAACACTAGCAAGGCCAGGTCCCCATCAGGGGACATGGCAAAGGCACAGCCCAGGTGTTCTTGAGCAGCCTCTCTATCATGGATGCTCTTTCCCTGCAGAGACCTAATTTGATTGGGCCCTAAGGAAGGGCAGCTCTGTAGAGGTGACATCTAAATTTAGATCTGAAGGACAAGGGAAAACATCTCTGACCTGCCAGTACTGGGGAGTCTTCTCTTGCTCCCTAATGAGAGGAAGTGAGCACCGTAAGGGTGACAAGAAGCCCAGCCTGGAGTGGGAGGGCTGAGGCGGGCTGCTTCCTAAATGGAATTTCAAACCTTGTTTGACTGCTGCCAGCTACAGAGTAGTGGCCCATGGAAATCATGTGTTTCTAAGTCACTGGAGTGAGAAGTACTTCTTAGTGTTAAATGCTATTTGTGATGGAAAAGTCTTGTAAAGAATTTGACAGTAGGAGACAGGGTGAGGCAAATCACAAATGTTATATAGTTAAATGGTTTGCAGGATTCTCCAGTATAGAGAAAATGCACAGCATCAGCAATATCTTTATCGTGATGAATTGTTGTTCAAAGGTATAGAATTATAAAAAATTAGATATGTTAGTATATACTGATAATGTAGTTTACAAATTTTTTACAGCACAAAAATCTTTAGTAATGATAAGAGTAATAAAATGTATACATGAGCAGTTTTCTCTTAAAGATAATATTTCCCCTCCCACCCCCAGATCTGCAGCATACTTTTTTTTTCCTATGTCAGGCCCCGGTGAGGTGCATAATTGCTTTTACATTTTAAATTCTTTTCTCTTGCAAGTACTTAGAGTGATTTTTAAAAATTATATTGTGTAACTGATGACTGTTGATGAGTAGCCCCCAGCAACCCATCAAAATAATGCCTCTTAAGGGTAAACAAATGGTCTCCTTATATTCACAATATGATCCTCCAGATTGGGTGAATGCTTTAGAAGACCAATAAACAAATCAGTAGGTTGTGAAAAACACAAGGAAGTCTAGTAGTTTTGGCTTGTAATTTTTGTGGCATTTAGTTGTAATAATTGTTGCCGTTTATGCGTTCTTGTCAATTCACTGTCATCTGTTGCACCCACCATGTGCGTTTGAAGAGTTCACATATACCTTCACAGTGAAGAATAGGAGAGAATTCAAGGTCAGCGTTAGAATCAGAGAGGAGCTTGGCTAAGACCCGGAACCCATGAACGCGTTCTTACTTATCTTAAATGGTGAGTCTCATTCTGTGTTGCACTTGAAACACGATGAACCTGACCGAGGCAAGAGCAGAATGTGTTGTTGACCCAATCTGCCCCCGAGGGGATTTCCGGGTTCTGTTCTTTAGCCTGGAAAAACCATACAGCAGAGAAGCCCAATAGGCAGTACTTATGGGTTGGATCCTAGTCTCTCATCTAGATAAGAAGAAATGAAAATGTAGAGATTCGATGGGAAGGAAGGAACCCAAGGGTGGGAAGAAGTATCCTGAGTGGGGTGGGGTGGCAGATAAAAAGGAGGGTCAGGTTTCTTTTCGGACACTGTTAGAATGCAATTATTAGGGGCGCCTGGGTGGCTCAGTTGGTTAAGCGACTGCCTTCGGCTCAGGTCATGATCCTGGAGTCCCTGGATCGAGTCCCGCATCGGGCTCCCTGCTCAGCAGGGAGTCTGCTTCTCCCTCTGACCTTCCTCCCTCTCATGCTCTCTGTCTCTCATTCTCTCTCTCAAATAAATAAATAAAATCTTTAAAAAAAAAAAGAATGCAATTATTAGCAGTAGTAATTCTGGCGATTAAGACAATGAATGAGTAAATGAGCCTTTAAAAAATAGCTTTTTTATCCCCTGGATTTCAGAGTTTTCATTACAAAATGCCAGTGGTATTATGATCTAACATGAGAATTTCAGTGCCTTTAAGGGTAGAATCTGAGATTCCTCCCTCTTAGGAACACTCATCAAACCACTGTGTGAATTTGGCTAATGAGTCTTCTTCCTACGTCCTCATATTTGTACCTTCTCTGATTTAGGACTCCATTTAGTTTCCCAAGGCTCTGGATTTATAGGCAAGCTTAATTGTTTCCAAGTTTGACTTTATGTTGGCTGCGTATGGGGCCAAGATCGGGAGCCTTGTTCTGTCTTTAATTTGTATGCCAGATGCCATTTTTCATTGGGCTCTACATTACTGCTCCTTGCTGTGCGTCATGTGGGTACAGCCAGGACATACTGGGCAGCATGATGCTCTGTCCCTGCTCTGGTAAGGCTTTATGATTACTGTTAATACCTTTCTTCATGTATTTCTTCACTTAGCTAATACGCATAACATTTGTATCAAATGTAGTCATAAACATAGTTGACTGGAAAGCCAATTATGTTTTCCCCACTACTTGTGCAAGAGTCGATTTTAATAAGGCCAAATACAGTGTTCATGAGGACTTGAGAAGGGAGAAAGATTAAATGTGATGAAGGACACCCAAGAGACCACCTGGAAAGTCACAGAATGGGGAGATTTGTAAAGGATAAGAAGCAAAACCTGTGCTCTAGCTGATAGTGAGCACTCCCCTTTTCTGTGGATACAGTTTAAAATTCATTCCGTGGAGCCTCCCATTGCTCCACTCAGTCTGCCGTGATGTATCCATTTATAATTTATTTATGCAAATACTTAACGCAAATCCCTGGAGACCTGTAGAAAAAGCGCTTATAAAATATTTTAGCGTTTTATCATTTGAAAAGTGATCATTTGCCTGCCCCAATGAAACTTTTTGCTATTCTAGCGAATAGTGAAAATGTTTTAGTGTCTCAGGAATATAATAAGTTGCT